ACTTGATTTTACCATATTTGATGTGCCAACAGTTGATACAGCGTTAAGTTGATTCAGAAGTCGCTTCAGATTTTGAATTTCTTATGTGGAAAAGGCTCCAACGGATGGTGAAGCAAGTGTTTCCCTAACTTCAACAAAATTTGCTTGAGCTCTTGTAGTTCCATCTCTTCTTCCTTCCCGACCTCTAATTGGTCTTCCATGCAACTTGCAACAAGTTTTCCTAATGTGTCTTATCTCGCCATAATAGTCATACCTCCATATATCTCTAGATTGATCAAACTAAGCAATTAATTCAGCCTTCTCAACTGGTGCAATGTGAAATATGACATTTCCTCTATTCTCTTCTTACTGAACATAAACATAAGTTTGTTCTAATGAAGGAAATTGATCTTTACCAAGCACTTGGACCCATATTTAATCATATTTGGTGTTCAAACAAGTTAAAAAATTATAGATTCGCTCTTTTTCTGCAGGACACTCTACTTGAAAATCTTAATAATAATCTAACTTCTGTCATAATCCATTCAGTTTATAAAAATATCGAGAAATAGTCATCTTTTCTTACTCTGTGTCATAAACTTTATTCTGAAATTCATAAATCTGAACATCATTACCCATCTGTAAATATGTAAGAGATATTGCATTTCATATTTTTTCGACAATATTAAGCAACATATATGTTCTGTCAATATAGGGTTGCATCTAATTTATGAGTCATGATATTACTAATGAACTCTCAGAGTCTCATTTATTATATTCTAAATTACCAACAACTAGTTTCTTCACCTTACTAGTAATGTAACTCTGTAATCTTCTAGTTTTGATGAACAATAAACAAAATCTCGACCAAGCAAGATAATTAGTTGCATAAAATTTTACATGATTGATTTGTAATGAAGAGTTATCAAACCTAGTAACACTCACGTTTTTTACTTCTGCATCTTATAATGCTAAAAATAAGAAGGAAAAATACCCAATAATGAAAAACGGACCTCCTATCTACACCAAGGAGCCAAAAAGGAATCTAAAAAAACCGAAAAAATGACAAAAAAATTAGAACCAAATCTGGATCGCCTTGGCTCGGCTCGACTCAGCTTGGCACTAGCTCGGACATGGACAGCTCTGCTCAGGCGCGGACAGACCAGGTAGAAGTGGTCTGGCGTGCGAAATGGCCACACAAACTGTCCCATGCGCGGAAAAGCGGACTGGCGCGAGAAAGGGGCTCTGTCCGGTCAATGCAACGTGACTCAGCCCAAGACTGGGGCAGCATGGTGTGCAGGAGGATTAGTCCACCCATCTCCAGACGCAAATTGGCCAGATCAGAGCGACGGAGGATGCAGAGTGGCAGATCTTTCTAACGCGGGCAGCCGCGTCAAAAAAGGCCAAATAATCGTGATCAAGTCGGATTTTATGGTGAAAGGAACCAAATTTATGGTAGTATTCCACTATTTTTCGGGCTGAATGGGATGAAGCCGACAGCACGTGTGGCTCACGCGCCTCTGCTGTCGGCGGCACGTGTGGTGGACGCGCAAAAACTGTGCCTGTTTTGGCCGGGCTTGAGTGGCAACTCCATCTGGGTGACGTTGAATTTGGTTTCTTTAGTAGTTGATTACCAATTTTGGTCTATTTTGCTTATTTTAGGGTTTTTTCAAAACCCTAAAATAGTCTTTCTTTAGCTCTGATACCATGAATTTTTTGAAAAAAATAAACTTCCAATTTTATTTCTTATTTCTTGTGTTTATATTTAGAAGATATATATAAATTGGTTATCCTTATTTTATTTGGACTATAATTATATAATATAATTATATTATTAGAACTCTAACTAATATAATATTCTACTTAATATGAAATCCTTATTAACAACTCATAATATAAGAAAGAAAACCTAGAATTAATTACATACAGGTATTTTACTTTTATACTCTTACATACTAAATTACATATATGTACACTTTTTAAAAGTTATATGACATTAGATCATATAAATTCCCTCTTGACAATGATACTAATTTGCCATCTACAACGTAGACACATCTTATTATATTTTTACACTATGCTCCAAATTTTAAGTTTCAATATTTAATCAGTGAAATTTCTAGCTAATATTTATACATGCTAATGCTATTGAAATTTGCAAATACTAAATAATCCTATTACCATAAAGCATGGACCTTATCATATTTAATTCAAAGAATCATACCTTCCAGTCTCAAGTAGGAACGGTCCCTCCCATACTGAATTACAGTAAGCATTGCCCAAACTGCGAAATAAGTCCAAGATTGTTGACTCCCACACCTTCACATCTAATGTAAGAGATCGCACCTGTAGTTTGTTAAATAATCAGTTGATGCAGCTGACTAAATCAATTAATTTGTTGATGATTTTGCTTTTTTTAATAAAAAACTCATAGAAAATTAGAAAGGACAACCCTAGATTCTTTTTCTTTTTAATAGAGATAGAAGTACTATTGAAAGAAAGTAGTGAACATTACAAAATGTGCAGCCATAAGATATCCAGCTAAGAAAAAAATAAGAAAAATGCAACATACAAGAAAAATCATTATCACCAAGAAACAAAAAATCACGTGACAAGAACATCCCAGTCCCTATGGAGGATAGTAAATGGAAGGTTCCCACAAGCCTTGGCCCAAAGAGAAAGCCAGAAAGATCATCTTCTCCCAAAGAGACGAGTCTGGAAGAGAGCGGTTGTGTCAAAGATTCGATGATTTATTTCCAATCAGATAGTGCAAATCCGAACAAAATGGGCTCCTTGCCATAATGGCTTTGCATCCTTCCTAGCCCCTTGCCCACCAATATTGGAATAAACAAAGCATTTCAGTGAAGCAGTGTTGACTAGAATATTATATTACCTAATTAGTTAAAATATTTTTTCCTGCATAATATTTCATATAATTATGTAATCAATTACAATCTCTATTATGATGTTAATTTTCTTATCTGTAAATAAGAATCTTATATATATACCCCAACTATAACAACATAATTTGTATCAGAAATAAAATAAATATTTTTTAAAAAAAATCTTCAAAGTCAAATGACACTAATTTAAGATTCTAATTTAAGGATTTTTTCAAACCCTAGATAGCACAAAAGATTGAATTGATATTCGTCTATCAAGATTTACCACTCCAAACGAAGTTGCAGTCTCACCGGTGGCTTGCCGCCTTACTCCGGTAACAATTTTTTCGAGCGCATGAGCCACACGCACCGCCAAATAGTGGCCTTCTTCCAGCGTTTGAACCGCACAAGCCGCCGGTAACCGAGTCAAAAACCTCATCCGTGTGCTGCATCATCGCCAAACACCTTGATCTGGCCTATTTTAGCATGCTGTATGTGTCCCCGACTTGCATCCCGACTGTTTTTGCCTCTGTTTTCGAGTGGCCACTGATCCCAAGACACATTCACAGTCACACAAGCCGTCTCAAGCTGCCACTGTGAGTCACACAAGTCTGTGGACTCCGTCGCCCGCAGAACCCTCACATGGATCCGTCTCTTCTGCGTCAGAATCGGCAGATCCGTCTCTAGTAGTGCGGATATGCATTTGCTGCCGGTTCCACCACCGTTTCCGACTACTAGCCTCCTCTGCTGGCTGTTTGCTCTAGTTGTGTGGATCTATCACTGCTGCCACTTCTGGCGCCACTTTTTTAGATCTAGTTTTGCCTCCAATGGTTTTGGATCTAGTTACTGGGTTTTTTTTTTTTCTGGTTATTATAAAAATGACATAAGTAAAAAAAAATAGTTATTCCTAATTCAGATAACCCTTCGTTACAAATCAGTCGTGTAAAACTTGATGGAACTAATCATCTTACTTAGTCAAGATTCGATTTGTTGTTTATCGAAGTGAGATGATTGCAGAGTTATATTACTGGTGATATGAATCAACCGAATGTTGGTAGTTTGGACGATAACAAATGGGAATCTGAAAACTCCTTGGTGATATCTTAGCTCATCAATTTCATACAACCTCACATTACCCGAACATATCTATTACTCAACACTAGATCAAAAATATGAAATGCAACATCTTTTACATATTTACAAGTAGGTAATAATGTTCAAATCTTTGAACTCCGAAATAAGGCACAAAACAAGTAGAGATTATTTTTTAATATTTTTCTAAACTAAGTGGCCTATGACAGAAGCTAAACTATTATCAAAATTTTCAGTTAGATTGTGCTGAAGACAAAGTCAAATTTCATAAACTAATAGAAAATGAACGGATTTATGATTTCTTGTCAGATCTAAATACTAAATATGATCAAATATAGATGCAAGTGCTTAGTAAGAATCCTCTTCTCTCATTATAACAAACTTATGCTTATATTTAGTAAAAAAAAAGTAGAAAAAATGTCGTATTTCATACAGCACCAGTTGAGAAGACTGGATCACTCGCTCAGTCTAATCAATCCAAAGACCAACAGAATTGTGAATATTGTTACAACCCGAGACAAAATAAGAAAACTTTTTGGATATTGCGTGGCTGACCATCTAGAGATCGTGGGAGAAGAAAACATGGACCTACAAGAGCTCAAGCAAATTTGGCAAGTGAAACCCCTGAAACACCAACAGTTGGAACTTTTTCAAATGAAAAGATTTAAAACTTGAAGCGTATTCTATCTCAACTTAATTCTTCATTCAATGGTGCATCACATATGGTAAAATCAAATATTTTTATTCTCCCTATTATTTTCAATTCTGATATTTGGATTATACACTCTGAAGATAACAAATACATTACAGACTCTTTTAAAAATTTCTTAATTTATGTTTCTTGTATTAAAGGGGAAAATGTCCGTGTTGCAAATGAGTCATACACTTATGTATCTAGAATAAGTTTCATTCATTGTACTCCAACTATTACATTGTCTTCAGTTTTACATGTGTCTAGTTTTTCTGACAATCTTTTATCTATTATGTCATCACTAGTGATTTTAATTATAAGAGTAAATTTTTCCCTTAGGGTGATGGTGATGATGAACGAAAATATCATCTAGCGAAATGGGATACTATCAAAGAACCCCTCATCAAGGGAGGGTTGGGGATTAGATTCATGATTGATATGAATAATACACTTCATGGTAAGTGGTTGTGGAGATATTTGAAGGAAGAAAACAGGTTATGGAGGAGGATTGTGCATTCGAGATGAGACAAATACATGGATAAGAGGGATGGCTGCAGGTTTTCTATTACACATGGGGGAGGCCTGTGGAGGAAAATTATGATGCAATGGTTTAAATTCCAGCAATGCTTTTCGTGGAGATTGGGCAGATGCAATAAAATTAATTTCTGGGATGATGATTGGAATGGGGTAGGATGCCTTTAGAAGAAGATTTCCCAGAATTTTCAGTATTATTTATTCCAAGAATTTAAGTGTTGAGGATGTTGTCTGGTTTTCGAATAAAAGAGCTGTGTGGTTAATCAATGTTATTCGGAATCCGAATGATTGGGAGATTAGTGAGTTTGAAGAATTGATGCAATTGCTTGAAAAATAGAATGTTTCTATGTGTGATGACCAATTTGGTGGAAACTTGAAAATAATGACATATTCTTTGTCAAGTCTTACTACCAATATCTGTGCAGCAAAGATAGTGAGGTTAGTGACTATTTTCTGGCAAAACAAATTTAGAAACTAAAGCTCCCCCCGCATTGCATATTTTGCTTGGGAAGCTTGCTGGGAGCGAATTCTGACTATTGACAAGTTAGAGAAAGAATACTAGTGAATGGCTGTCACTGCTGTATAAGCTAAATAAACATGCAATCACTTTTTATTGTGGTGTCCGACTATTTACAGGTTGTGATGTATGATCTATGAACTTTTTGGGATTGAGTGGGTAAATGATGAGTCTATTAAAGGGAAAATTTGGGCATGGGATGGTTTATTTGTAGAAAATAAGATTACTAACTTGATTCTATTGTCTAACTTTTTGGATCATATGGAAGAAGAGGAATGGTAGAACTTTTGACAATGCTAAGAGTAGTATTAATATATTAAAAGACGAGTGGATACACAATTTTGAATCAATACTGTTAGGTCATGACATTATTTGTGATGTACCTTTTGAAAATATCATTAAAATACTAATATGTTTATAAATCTTTTGTAAATGGGCGATACGCCCATTTTGGTACCTTGTTAATATATATACCTTACTTTTTTATTTAAAAAAAAAATTGAAAAAGTCATCTTGCAGTCAGCTCCAAACCAAAAATCTTCTTCAGGTCCTGAAGATACAGGTAAGTTCCCTTTACCTTGTGATTCGTATGATAAATATTGCTTGCTCTTAGAAAATGAATTAGGACATGCACTTGTGATTCGCATTTGTCTACGCGATAGTGATGGGGACAAAGCCCCCGGACCCAATGGTTTCAACTTTAAATTCCTCCAAACATTTTGGGATGTCATCAAATGCGAAATCATCGAATTCTTCAACGATTTCCACAATCATGGCTCCTTTGTCAGATCTCTAAACTCAACTTTCCTTGTGATGATACCAAAGAAAAGTAACCCCAAACACATCAACAAATTCCGACCTATTAGCCTCATAAACTGTATTTACAAACTACTTTCTAAGGTGTTGGCTCAAAGGTTATCCAAGATTCTCAATTCTATCATTAGCGACTGCCAACATGCCTTTATTTTTGGCCGACAAATTGCTGATGCAATTTTGATTGCTAATGAGACTGTGGATGAAGTGATTAGACAAGGTAAAGATGGCATATTATGCAAGCTGGATATGGAAAAGGCCTTTGATCATGTAAATTGGGAGTTCATTGACTACATGCTTCTTAGAATGAGTTTTGGTGTTAAATGGAGAGGCTAGATCATATCATGTATCTTTACTGCAAATTTTGCTATCATTATAAATGGTGGCCCTCCTTCTTTACTGCTTCTAGAGGCCTAAGACAAGGAGACCCTCTCTCCCCCCTCCTAATTATTATTGTGATGGAGGCACTAAACAAACTTCTTGAAAAAGGAAAGGAACTGCAACTGCTAAAAGAAATCATTGTTGGCAGTAAGGAGAAAAAAAGAAATCTCACATATATTTTTCGCCGACGACACACTTATCTTTTGCCAGCCTAATATGCGGTCTATGATTTTTTTGAGATGCATACTCATCTGTTTTCAAGCTGTCTCGGGTTTAAAAATCAACCTCCATAAATCGGAATTAGTGATGATGGGCAACAACAGTTTGGGTGATTCTCTGGTGCAGGTTATGGGTTCCAAAAAATCTACTTTGCCTATCTTTTACCTTGGTGTTCCCCTTGGAACAAAGCACAAAGACATCAAATGTTGGAATCCTATCATTGAAATGGTTCGCAATAGACTTGCTAACTGGAAAATGAAATTTATTTCCAGAGGTACATTGACACTTATCAAAAGCACCCTCTCAAATCTCTCAGTTTACTATCTATCGGTGCTCCACATTCCTGTCAATGTACCTAAAAAACTAGAAACAATTTAATGAAACTTCTTGTTGGGTGACAATGACAACACAAAAAAGCTCTACCTTGTCAAATAGGCTGATGTCAAAAAACCATTCACAGTTGCTGGCTTAGGCCTTCGTTCCTTGAGCATTCTCGATAAACCTCTGCTCGGAAAGTGGATTTGGAGATTTTGGAACGAGGAAGATAGCCTTTGGAAAAGGATAGTTGATTGTAAATGGTTCAATGGCAACCCTCATGATCTCACCCGTAATAAAAAATTCCACTTATGGGCTGAGTCTTTGGAAAGGAATCATGAACCTCAACAGCAATATCCTAGAATGCTCTAACTGGACTCTTAGGAGGGTTAACAAGATAAGATTCTGGGAAGACACTTGGTGTGGTGATGAAAATTTTCAATCTAAATTTCCTCTCATTTATGTGATCTGCAGCAATAAACACTGCCTGGTTGGTAATATGTTCAGTAATAGTAACCCTGATGGTGAAATATCAATGTTACTAGAAATCTTAATGATTGGGAAGTGAAGGAATATGAGAATTTACTCTATATTGTGAACAACCTTCAGCCCTCATCCCACGAAGACAAGCTTTATTGGAAACTGAAAAAAAATTGTCAATTCTCTGTAAAGTCCTTCTATTATCACTTGGACCAGTCTAACATGAATGTTTCAAGGGACTTTCCTTCAAAAATCATCTGGAAATTTGGTGCCCCACCCAGAATCTCTTTTTTCACTTGGGAGGCTACATTGGAAAGGATACTCACTATTGACAACTTGATGAAAAAAGGCCTTCCTATGGTTAACAGATGCTTTCTTTGCAAACTCAGCCAGGAATCCTGCAACCACCTTCTTCTTGGCTGCCCTCTCTCTTATAAATTATGGTCCATGGCTTTGGATCTCTTAGGCCTATTTTGGGCGATGGCTGGCACGATCAAATCTGAATTATTGGCTTGGGAAGGCATTAACAGCAGGAAAAAAGCTATTCGCATCATACCCTTTATTTTGTGTTATTTGGAACGAGCATAACAATCGCACTTTTGATGGAAAGGAAACTGACTTTAAAACTATCAAGGACAATTGGTTTCATTATTTTAACTCTAATGTTCTAAATCATAACCATGATTGTATTGATGATTTTGCCTACATTGTAGATATGTTAATCGACATGTAAATACCTTTTACACATGGGCAGTGCCATCTTGGCATCATTTTAATACAACTCTTCCTACTTTTACTTTAAAAAAAAAATGAATTAGGACGTGCACTAAGCATCCTATATCTAACTTTATTTCTATGACTCTCTATCTACTTCTTATAGAATTTTTGTTTTATCTATTTTCTCTGTGTCTATTCTACTGAATTAAAGATAAGCTCGAGAAGATCCCAAATAGAAGGAATTCATGATTGAAGAAATGAAAACTTTAACAAAAAATGAAACATGGAAACTTGTTTCACCTCCACAAAGAAAGAAGATGGTTGGTTATAAATTGGTGTTCATTGTGAAACACAAAGCAAACAGGTCGATTAAAAGGTACAAAGCAAGATTGGTTGCTAAAAGATTTACTCAGACCAATGAAGTTGACTATCTGAAGACATTTGCACCTGTCACGAAAATGGACACAATCTGAATATTACTGTCTTGTGCAGCTAACCTTGATTGAAACATACAACAGTTTGATGTCAAAAATGTCTTCTTTTATTGAGACTTTAAGAGAAAAAAATATATAAAAATTTTTTTTTTGAATTTGAAGATGAAAAAATACAAGGGAAAGTTTGCAAATAAAAAACAATCTTATAGGTATTTCTTCCTTGCAATACCTCCAAAAAACTTTTAAAATCAAGAGTTATCAAATGTATTCTATTAATAAGATAGGTGGCTAAAAAAACTGCATCTCCTCAATAATTTTTCGGTAGATTCATGGAGAACATAAGAGACTGAATTACCTCCAGTATTTGATTGTTTTTCCTTTCAACATTACTATTTTATTCACTAATGTAGGCACAACTCGTCTGATGGATTATCCGATTACACTCCAAGTAGGCACGAAATTCACCATCCATATATTCTGTACCGTTTTCTGTTCTTAAAATTTAACTTTGGTATCGAATTGTGTACATATTATTTTATGAAATGACTGAAAATATGAGAACACATCACTTTTTGTTTTCAACGGGTAAATTTATGTTAATCTAGTACAATAGTTAATAAAAATAACAAATCATTTATAACCAAATAAAGAGTTATTCTGAGTAGACCCTCAAACATCAGAGTGAATAGTTATAAACAGAGTATAACTTTTATGGTTACTCACATGATAGAAACTTCTTTTATATTTAACTAGTTCACATGCATCACAAAATAAAATATTCATGAAAGTTCTTTTAAACAAATTGAGATATAATTTTTTTTTAAGTATAGAAAAAATGATATCCCAATTAATGCAATTGTAAAATTTCCTAATTAAAATTCGTATTCTTGTAGGCAACTTGATTCTCAATTATACTTTGATTTCTATACAAGATATATAAGTCATGCAGTCTACTAGTGTCAATCATCTTCCTTATTTGAAGAACCTAAATGATTTAATAATTAGAAAAAAATTTAATTTTGTAGTAAATATCTCCAGCAAGTACAGTAATTGATAAAAAACTGTTAGGAAAACTAAACACATGAAAGAATAAAGATAGAGTAATAGTGAAAATACAATTAATGAAACTTATTCCAGATACAGGGGTGTATGATCCATCTACTATACGGACATTTTATCCTTTAGTATAAGAAAAATAAGTTCGAAAGTTTTTAAAAGAACTTGCCATGTGTCTGTTAGTTCAAAAATCTATAATCCAAAAATTAGAATTGGAGATAACAGGGAGATGAGTAATACCTGATTTTACTAATTTTCATTCACCAATACCTTATAGGAGAGGTTTCAGGCTTTGAATCTTCTTATTTGAAAAAGCTCTACTAGTTGATGAAAGATTATCCAAACTAGGAACAACTAATTTTCTTATTTCTGTCATCGCTTAAAATAATTATAGGCAAGGAAAAATAATATCCAATAGATAATCTCAACGAGATAGAATAGATTCTCTGACTAGCACCAATAGAAGCCAAAAAAATGCTACAAGCCCAAAGAAAATCATTGAAAACAGGTATATCTAGTAAGGTAGCGGTGGTAGATGCGGCAACAGAAGGCAACTCGGCTCAACGCATGGATGGACCAGATCGGAGCAGCTCCGTGCGCGGCGAGATGCAGCGAAAGCTCAGTCGGCGGGAGATGTGGCAGCCACGTGAAGGTGGATCGCGATTTGGTCCGAATCGCGTGCGACAAAGCCAGATCCATGCATATCGAAGTGAATCGGCGCACGGAAGGTCGTCTCCGTGCACGACAGAAGCTCAATCGACAGGATGCGCAGCAGCCGTGTATAGGTAGGTTTGGAAAGGCACGATTCGGGTGGAATCACGTGTGACAAGACCAAATTCTTCCCCATTGCAATGTTCAGGCAGAGTCGGAGGTAGGATGGGTGCGAGTCTACGACACCATCATAAATAATGATGAGGGTAAATGTAGGTAAGTGGGTACCAACTTATTCTACTATGTTATCTTAGGATTTGAAAATTTTCTGAAATTAAAATCCTAAAATAACCCTATTCTAACTCTGATACCATATAAATTTTGAAGAAAAAATATTAACTTTATTTTGTCATACAACTTATGTTGTTACAACTGAAATATTTATATAAAATTTCTATTTACAGGTAAGGAAATTAACATTATAGTAAGGATTCTAATTTATTCTAATTAATTACATCATTATGTGAATGATTATATAAGAAAAACTATTTTAACAAATTGGGCAACAGAATAATCCAGTCAACACTTCCCCATTTGGATAATAAGTATAAGTAAGATATTCTTAGTAAAGTCCTACTATCACAATCTTTTGGATCAGATTTTGGACATTTGCATCGAAACAAGTGTAGAGACAAAGCTTCTCCTCATGCTGTTTTTTTCTTTTTCTTGGGGAGAAGCTATGTGAGAGAGGA